AAAATACACAAAAGTTATTATGAAGTTATAGTATAGATTTTGAAGAATTTAAATTTTTTTTCATTTACCACAATTATTGAAAATGCAGATTATATTTAGCATACCTCATAAATTTCTTATGATAATGTCATCAGCTGGAGAGGCATTAATTATATCTACCGGTATATTAGATTTAATAATTGCAGCCTGTCAGATTTAAACCCTCAATATAGTTACAAAACAGTTGTAAAACATCACATAGAGGTGGGAGGAGCCCTATTCTTACACAGAGACATAAACATGAAACTAGATATGCACAATTAAACATTATTTACCAAAAAAAAGAAACACTCACCAAATAGAGAGCTTATAAAGAATCTGGTCTGGTAGAAAGAAGCAGACTAGCACACTAGACTAACTTTAAAAGAGCAGCAAGACAGATTGTGACAACCCAGCACACTAGGAGAGTATAAGACTTGGTGTAAAAAAAGGAATTTAAATATGGTCTTGCTCATATGAAAAAAAGTTATTTAGGTTATACCACTAAACAAGACAAGGGGTGATCTAGTTTCCTATTGGAATGTTGATGGTATTTAGCTATAAACGTTAACTTGTTGCTTGTTTCAATAACTTATTTAAATTAGGTGTATCATTCTAGGCCAATACTGAAGGGGTTCTGTTGTCACAGACATGGTTGGGATAATTTTTTTAAAAACATGACACCCCTTATTTGTGAATGGTTGAGCTGAGTGATTAGTAATAGAAGCTGGTGTAAGACACCACTGTGGCTTACTAGAGTGCAGTGTGCAAAATCCTTCTGAGTAGGTTGCTAGGAATGTGGTTATGCCAATCAGAAGAAACTGCCTTAAACAGAGGCCTCAACCTTAGAGAGAGACTCCCTTAAAAATGGCCCCAACGGGGAGAGACTTTAAACAAACACAGCTGACAAGTAGACTAAATGAGTACAAGCTAACATTACAGCTGGCTAACTTATAAATCTAAAGTTGAAGATATACAAGTCCAAGAAGAGGACATCGCAGCGAGGTGATCTTCAGATTTACTGAAGAACTAAGAAAATGATAAATATCAGTTTTTGTAAATTTACAGCTCTTAAGGGACGACGTCAAAAGATCGATGTCGGATAAAAAACTTAATTCCTTTAGTTTTTTTCCAAACCTCCCCCCCCCCCCACTGAAACTTAATTGATAAATATTGGTCATGGCATCAGACTACATTTACCATTAAATACAAATTGATAATCGGACAGTAGTATTGCATAGACGTTGGTTGTCGGGTGGGTGTAAAAAGATTTTACAAATGCACCTCATTTGACGCACAGATTTACACTCGAACCAAACCATTTTTCTGTGTTTTTTTTCCCTTTTCAGTTATTTCTGTCCATGATTGGATAGAATAAAAACGAAATACAAATACTCCAAGATTTTTTTGACTTCATTAAAAAATAAAATCGTTTTTGTAGGATGGAAACTTTTTGAGGTTAAAACCCCCCACCCCCAAACTAAAGGAAATAAGTTTTTTATCCGACATCGACCTTTTGACGTCATCCCTAAAGATTTTAGGCAATCCTAAATGAGAGAGTGGTAATTCAAACCTGATGGAGCTTTCCATTTCTTTTGGGTGATGGAGTATGTTGCAAAAAAACACATTTAAAAAAATTCTCAAATGATAATCTAACAAAAATGGCTTGTGTAAAAACAGAAGATACTCAACAAACAACACATGCAACAATTTCTAAAAAACCTCTCTTTGGAAAGTAAATATGTGAATTTATAGAAAAAAATAATTTCAAACAAAAAATAATAAATTCATAAGTTAGAAGCTGATCAAAGAAAACTGTATTCAAAACTTAGTTACCATGACAACCATCATTTTGAAATAGAAAAAGGTAGACCAACAAAAAATTCAGTAAAGGATATAATATGCTAATGGTGTAATAAAAATGTTATTGGAGTTGAGCTACTTTGTTGAAAGTAAAATATAGAAGCAAAAAAAAACATTCTTCAGAAAAATCAATATTCCACCAGAAATTAAACAGTAAATTATTTATATATTCACTTTGAGTAGAGAATCAAACATTATTAAAAAGTTAGCTGCCAATATATGTACCACAGAGATAACAACAGGGAAGAATGAGTGAATAATTGATCTGTGATTCAGACATTCTCTAAAAGTTCCTAAGTGTGCTACTATAACAAGTTATGCATGTATATCATCTGTAAGCTTAGATGTAGGCATATACGATGAGGACTTTTTTGGATCATAGACCACTGTCATTTACTTAGATGCATTATACTACTAATATAGAAAAAAAACGATATATGTTTTAACCATAGACCACTATCACTTACACAAGTGTATGCACAACTAAAATAGAGTGATACGATCTAACTAATACAATGGCAACAAATAAAGGAAATAACGGTAGACACCCCCCCCCCAGAAAACAAAACAAAATCAAAGAAAGCTTAGAAAGAACTCCCATGTGCTGAGAGTATTGGAGACACATTAAATATAATTCGAAATTACTTAGCAGAAAACTAATTATGCAAATCAGAAAATTAATATGAACAGATTTGAGTGTAAAACTAATGAGGTCTGCGCGTACGGCACCTAATCGCCTAGCTTCATGCCACTACACGTCGTCCCCTCGGCCACCGGGCATCTCCAAAAAAAAGATGCTTAATAACCGAGCTTATTACGTGCAGAGAACATGAAACCCGTCCATGCGATCCGCGCCACACAGCATGGCCAGAATGCGGCAAAGGCCTTCAGATCTGGCTGTAGTATGATGGTGAAAGTAATGGTACAGCATTATAACAGTGAATAAGCACTGAGAAATAATTTTAAACTCATAGTTGCTGTCGACATAGGAAGTAAAGTAAGCAAATAACGCCGAATAAACGGCAAGGTAAATACTACGTTTAATTATAGTAAACACGTACTGTGTGCGTGACTCGAACCGGCGCTCGCGTACGGCACCTAATCGCCTAGCTTCATGCCACTACACGTCTTCCCCTCGGCCACCGGGCATCCCCCAAAAAAGGATGCTTAATAACCGAGCTTATTACGTGCAGAGAACATGAAACCCGTCCACGCAATCCGCACCACACAGCGTGGCCAGAATGCGGCAAAGGCCGCGCGTCGGTCGATACTCCAGCTGTACTGTCTTTGTGCAATCTTTGAGGTATCCTCGTAATAACCTTATTATTATACATCTTTTCCTTCCAAGGATAACCATGGGAATGCTGAAATCCAAAATGTTTAAAACAGAATCAGCGAACTTCTTTGTGTAGAGTCTGGTCAAACCCTGGTGGCAGCTATGTTTGTTTTTATTATTATAGGACGCTTACGCACATAATCATTCCATATTTGGAATTTCCATTTCCTTATAAAAGATATTAAATACAATAATAATATACATGATATAATTACAATGAAGACAGTACAGTTCACTGCTCACTTAATAAACATATCAAACGAAACCTAGAAATTTGAAAAATACCAAACCAAAAATTTTTTCCTAAAGAATAAATATATATGTATGGGACACATTTATTTTAGATAATAAGTCTGTGTGTTAGCCTGACCTGTGGGCAGTTAGTGAATGTCACGACATTTAATGAACTTTCTATCTCATTAAATTTGTTATTTAATGACCTATCAGACAAGGTCATGACCCCAAGCATTTCTATTTAAAGGGATCATAAATATTATAATGGAATCTAAACAGGATGTAACATATTTTATTTCAATCTCATAATCTCAACAATTAATCAGATGCAATGATATCATGCTAACAATTTACAAAATGTGATTTTTTTATTATTGAAGTTCCATAAATATTATCTCAACCTGCTTTCAATCAGCAGCACCCCTCTATAAAAGTGGAGAGATCTAAATATTTGCTTGTTGCTTCTATCTATTCACTGCGTTCCAATTAGGTAGATCAGTCCTTTGGTCTTTATAAAACAAACACAATATATTTGTGTTGCTTTCTTGAGCGACACTAATCATTATGAGGGCAAGGTAACAGCTGGGTTACTTGGGTGAGATGCAATTATTTTGCACTCTGGATATCATATATATACTCTGGGGCATACCATCCTTGTCATAAGTAGTAAGCATCCCCCAGAACAAATATTAGGTAATTAGATGAATCCACAATAATAAAAGTCAGGGATAATTTTAAATCATAATACAGGAATAATAAAAAGGAAATGTGATTCATTCTGATTTCAATTGATCAGTTTTTCATTTGTTTAAAAACAATTTTTACTCACTATTTATGTCAAGGAATCTTATCATAGTAGGTGATCTTAATTTTGCTGACTTGGCAGAATCCAAATTCAATGTCCATGATTTGAATTGTACACAACTCAATGGTCCATTTGAAGTTGAGTCAGATTCGTTCACTAACAGATGTGATTTTGAAAGGTTGAGGTTAGTAGATACTTGTGTTCAAGTGGATCTGGATAGTTTAACACATAAATTTACAATTATGGTAATATAGTTCAGCACTGCCCTGTCACGTGTCCCATGTGACAAGCATAGTATAAGATTGTATATTTTATTTAGAAAATACACACTAATAGGTTGCATGAATCCAAATTAGAATTTATCAAAACCACAAAAAAACTGAATAGGACATTCACAATATAATTTGATGTCTTTGTATCAAATTTAAACAAAATCAATAGTGTATCTGAGAAAAAGAAAGAATGCATAAGAAACACATGGCTGCCAGTCTGCTATTTAAAATAAAGTTGCAAAATAAAATAAAATAAACAATATACATCAGTATGCCACCATGCGTGATGTTAATGTCAAGTTTGACTCCTGCATACCTGAGAAAAAGCTGACGACACATTCAATAGTTAATTTTTGATGTTTTTTGGAAAAATATCATCCCTTGACTTGTTGATGTCTTGTAATGAATTTCATCCCTAATGTTATAGCAGTAACAAATGTTACAAAATCAGTTTTTTTACTATTATACCTACCTCATCACATGCTTCACATCGTGGGGTTATAAGCTCGGCATAATGTCGTTCATCATAAATCTCACCATCCTTGAAAAAGTACGCAAGATCCACCAATAACTCATCACATTCATGACAGCAAAAGCAAAAGGGATGCCAGCAAATATCGTCAGCTAGTTTGTCAGTAAACACTGCCATCTCACCAGCTGGGATCTCACCCTTGCATTTGAAACATTCCTAGTGACATAAAAAAAACAGTTTTAAGGCATTTTTTGGGAGGCATAAATGTTTTACGATACACAAATTTTACCGGTTTAATCAATTGAGGGCGCAGTGCTGTGGTGGAATAGGCTTTAAACAAATGATTGTCCCACACTTTTTCTGGTTGCGATCAGTACCAAAACATTTATTGTGTGAATTGTCTGTCAAAGGGGTAAAAAAACAGCATTATACTTTGTAACTTTTGAGTATGATTGAGAAAGTTACCGAGGGGGGGGGGGTATACCAGACAGTGATTAAAAAGGGTTAGAATGTGATGAAACAACACAAAATTGTCCAAGCAATGTATATCACTATCACTGCTGTATACTTAAAAATAATCAAAGAAAGCTTAGAAAGAACTCCCATGTGCCGAGAGTATTGGAGACACATTAAATATAATTCGAAATTACTTAGCTGAAAACTAATTATGCAAATCAGAAAATTAATATGACCAGATTTGAGTGTAAAACTAATGAGGTCTGCGCAATGTAACAGAAAATCTATGTCTCCAAGTTTAATTGAAATGTGATTAGAACCAAAAAATTATGAATTATTATGCTTATTAGGGAATTAATATGAACAGATTTTTACCCCAAACTAATTAGGTTTGTACATTGTCCTAGAGCATCTTTGTACTAAGTTTCATTGAAATGGAATAATTAGTACCGTGAAAACTCCAAAATTTCGACCCCTCTAAAAATTCGATTGGCTATTTATTTGCCGGGTTTCGGTGTTTTATTTACCTCCAAATTTTCGACTCCACTAAAAATTGCCGACTCATTCTTATTCGAAAATTGCGACCAGTTTTAGTTTTCCCCCAAACGAAAAAAAAAACCGATGTGAGCGTTCAAACGGGACCTTCCTCGAAGGCATGAATCCGGGTTTCTGATTGACTGAGAGATTTTTATTTTATTGGTAACGAAAATATATTCTAAATAAACGAAGTTTCAAATAAAAACGAACACAAAAA